GGTCTGCCGCGGGAGGCCCTGGCCCGAGTGTCTCGCGGTTCCGAGGGGCGATTTCTCTTCGCCGCAGCCTGGATTCCGTCCTCTTCGCGAAGTGCTGGGAACGACGCAGGTTCCCAGCCAGCAAGGAGCCAGCAGAATCAGGCCCCTGCCCCACGAGTGCATCAGGAGCTGGGGGCGTGTGGAGGGAAGGGAGTACAGGGAGAGAGAGGGGCTGGTGCCTGGGGGCCCAGAGCCAGCCAAGGCTCTTACCTACATCCAGAGCGAGCCCGTGTCTGGGGCCGGGGCTGCCTCCCTGCTGCTTGCACCAGAGAACGCGGCCCTGGAACGCCTCGTGACTGCAGCCTCTCACCTGCTGTGGGTCGGTGCGAGGGGTCAGTGCCCCAGCAGGGCTACCAGGCTCCATGCCCCCAGCCTGACCGCCTGCTTGTGTCTCCTTCCAGCTCTAACTTGGCCAGAACCCCCTTTCCCACCACCTCGGCCCTGGAATTTCCTTCTTCCTGCCCTCGTTGGTGCCCAAGACAGTCACCATGGAGAATGAGCAGCTGCAGGTCCCGCCTCCTTCCAGCAGCACCAGGAGCACCAGCACGGCCAGCAGCACCAGCAGCAGCAGCAGCAACGGGCGCCAGTCAGGGCCCCAGATCTCTGTGTACAGCGGGATCCCAGACCGCCAGACTGTGCAGGTAAGGGGCTGTGGAGCGGGGCAGGGAGCCAGGCGTTGTGATGGCAGGAGGACGGTGCCAAGGCGTGGGGCTAGATCCAGAGAACCCTGGAGCTAAGGGTTGTGTGTGGGTGGCAGGCAGGGGAGAAAATACCTGGCAAACCCCGTGCTCCAATTCTCATCCTTCTGGAGACCCTGCCATGTCCCGGGGGCCCGGCGCCCACGGCCAAGCTCTGCTCCCCGAGCTATGGAAATACCTTGCACCCCCTGCTGGGACTCTCCCCCTCACCAGCCCTGGGGGCTCTTTCCTTCCAGCACACTTGGAATTTCTCCCTCCCCCAGAGCGCTGAGCTAGGGGCCAGGGGAACGGACGCCTCTCCTTGGGAGGTGGACACAGCGTTCCAGTCCCTGCCCACGCAAACAGGCTCGCAGAGGGTCCATCCGGACTGCGGTGCGATTTCCAGAGGCCTCCCACAGCAGCGATTCCGCTGTTCATTCTGTGAAACGGCTTTCCGAATAGCAGGCGCGTACCCCTCCTTGCACGGGGTACGGGACGCTTTGGAATTGCGCTTTGTATTGGAAACGTGGGAAGGATGCAAGGCAGACACACCCGCTAAGAGCACGTGTGCACACTCGCGGAGGATGTGCGCACACTCGCACACCAAGGGCCATGTGCCCTGCACACCCAGGGGTGCACACACGGAGCCGTGCATGCTGGACCCACACAGTCGCCCAGTTACTTCCTGGTCTTGGCAAAGCCCCAGTGCTCAGTCCCTGCTGCTGCTCTCCCTAGCGCCAGACAGGGTCTGGCTTTGCAACGGGAGCATGGCCAGCCCCCCCGTAGAGCAGCCCCCTGACCAGCCCCAGGCAGCATCCTCTACTGGACTCTAAGCCTCTGGCTGGCAGAGCTGAGCAGGTGCCCGGTGGCTGGGCATTTGGAAGGAGGTCGGCCCTGCGGGGTCAGGTTTGGAACCGGGGCGCTGGATGTCCGGGGTGTTGCCCTGTTCAGTGGGTGCAGGCTGCTTCCACCACCCCCTCTGTGATGCCCACTGTCATGGCTCCTTCCCCACTCTGGCGTGATAAATGCAGAAGTGGGGGCCAGCAAGTGTACCCCAAAGCCTTATCTACCAGGCTTTGGTATCAAACTTCCCCCAAAATCTTAAAAACCTAGATTTTGGGAATAAAACTTCCGCTGCCACCACCCAAATATGAATAACAAGATTAGGGGAAAGATCATTTGGGAAATCTCACCCCTATTATAAAAATCAGGACACACAAGTAACCAATGCCAGATTAATAAAAAGAAAAGAGAAAACTTTTATTATTACAACAATATTCCTGTTGCAAGCATAAGGATCAGATGGAAAGGTAACAAAATATACTCATGGAGGAATTACACCATGGACTAGAACTTAGTTAAAAAGAAAGGCCAACCATCTCTTAAGCAGCGCCAGATCTCAGATCCCATACCCAACCCTTAAAACAATAAAGCCTAATGAAACTACCTAAACTTTACCCTACTTACAGAAAATGAAGAATGGTGTCTTGGAGAGAGAGAGAGACATGCTTGTCCCTCTCTGTAGCTGCAGAGAACACACCCCGAGAGACAAAAGGGAGAAAGGAAAAAACCCAAATTCCTTTGTCCCAGTTTGAAAGTCCCATCTACATTCCTACTGGTCACGCCACCTGGTTAGGTGTAGTTAACCCCTTAATCCCCAGGCTGCTGGCTAACCCTCATAATCATGACACCCACGGCGAGCCCCACACATTCCACCCACCCTGGAGCGCGAGTCCATGTGGTCAGCCCCTGGTAGGGCTGGTCCTGCAGTGTCACTCCCCTTTGGCCAGGCCACCCAGCGCCAGCACACAGCCAGCCGCATGGGTCAGCAGCTGGGGGCAGGCCCCTCGCCACATGGGAACACACTTTGCTCAGCTGCCTGCTACACGTGGCCAGACAATGCCACACGTGTGGGAAGGCTGCTGGGGCAGCTGCCCCGCTTTGCTCTACCTCTGCCCAGCAAGGCTGGGACTGAGGACGTCAGAAGCCCCCAAATCAAGGCCAGTTCTGACTCCTGTGCTGCTGGAGCAATTCTAGGGTTGAGCTGGGAACCACCGGGCCAGGGGAGGGGGGAATTCTGCTCTCCCAGACCCCCCTGCCTGCCAGCCCTGATCATCCTGTATCCCAGCTGCCCTTCCTAGCCCTAGGCTCTGTTCTTCCACCCCGTCCCGGTGGGGGAAGGGCTGGGTGTGAACAATAACAAAAGAATGGAGAGGCGGGAGGGATGGGAATGAATGAGATGGGGGGGCACCAACGTGGCACTGGGGCAGCGTCCCTCCAGAACCTCTCTCCTACCCTTCCCTATGTCATTGGTACCTACATACCAGCGGTACTCCCATCACCGGCTCCTCCCCAGCACTACATGCAAGTCCATCTAGATGTCTGGAGAGATCCGCAGCCTTCACACCAGGCAGGCACCTCACCATACGGGTCTCCCAGTCATCGCAAACCCAGCTATCAGCTTCCACCACTCGGTCCTGCTGCACTAGGCTCCCTAATCCCCTGGGGTGAGGGGTGGATTTGCCCTGGACCCCTGCCTGGAGGAGTTGGAGGGGTTACCCTGGGACTGGGCAAAATGGAGGGGGAGCTGCCCCAGACCACACCTGGGGCAGTTGGTGGGAGAGTTGCCCAGAGCATGCCTGGGGGAGCAGGGGGGGTGCTCCAGACCATGCCTGGGGGAGTTGGGGGGTGCCCCAGACCATGCCTCGG